CCCCCCCCCCCCCCCCCCCCCCCCCCCCCCCGGCATCCCCAGGTGTGGCATCCTTGTCTGAGAGAGAAGGAAGGCAAAGGATGGGCAGATCTTTCTATCTCTCCTGCTCTCCACGAGGCAGGAAACTCGGGTGGTTTAACTGTTGATCTGAATCTCTTGATTCTTTTACTCTTTTGGGTTGTTTTTGGTACACCCCCCCCCCCAAAAAAAGAAAAAAAAATAGGAGCAATTTTGGGGAAATAGCCTGTCTGGTTTTGTGGGTTCTTTTTTTCTCCAGGCTGCAGGGAATTGCAAGCTGCAGGCATTTCCAAGAATGTTTGCTAGGGGAAAGTCTTGTCTGAAATTTATGGAATATAAGAGCAATTTGGCAAGGCTGGGCATAGAGGGTGAGTGCAGTGGACTTTTATTCTAGGGCTCTGCCATGATATAGTTGAAGCGTAAGGAGCCGAGGCGAGGGAAGGTTCAGCATTTACCTTTCTGTCAGCTCCCCCTTGCTCGCCCCCTAACCCCAGCAGAAGTCCCGATACTGCCCTCCTTGCCCATCCCCCCCGCCCCTTGGGCCAGCACCCAGTAGGCAAGAGGGCTAAGGAACGGCGGAATGGTTGCAGGAGGTCATGTTCCCTTCGATTCGGGAGGAGAAGGGGAAACCTTGGAGGCCGCAGGAGGAGGAAAGGCCTGTTCCTTTAGCTCCATCATGCTCTCCTCCATTTCCCGTGGAACAGCAGTGGAGCCAAATAACTTACAAAGTTTATCTGTTTGGTGTATGAAGACTATCTGGGAAGGCCTTCACTTGCTGTTTTCCGTTTGACTTGGGGAAGATGCCGGCTCCTGCTTGCCCAGGAGTCGGCATGGAGGCTGTTTCATGTACTAAGTAACCACAGTAAAAATGGCCTGATAACTCCTAAAGGGACAAAATGAATGCCCCAAATGGTGGCCAGGTGCAGGAGAGAGGGAGCCATTGACCCAAGGGTTTAAAAGGCAGCAAGGCTTTTCTGACGCTGTGTCGATTCGTCTCGGGGGCCGTGAGATGTGCAGGGAGCCGTCCTTATCTCAAGCTGCCCTTCTCCGCTTTGAGCCGTCTGACTTCCCACCAGAGGTTGGCAGTAAGTTCTGGCCTGCAGCGGCTTCTTATTCAGGGAAAGGCTTGCTGGACAATAGACTCTCAGAGGTAACTTGCCTAGATTGGCGTCTTTATTGCAGACAAAAGGAAGTCATGCACAGCCAGTAGGGCAAAGAATCTAGGTGTGTTCCTCCCCCCTCTCTGAATAAAGGTGTTTTCTCAGGTGGCACAATAGTCATGGGGCCCCTTTGGTAAAACTCCTCTCTCCTTACATTGCCCTATTTTGGCTTGATTTTACTCAGGCTGCGATTCCTTTCCTTACTGCCTACCGAAAGCCAACTCCAGCTACAGACGGTATTGCGAGCATCTGCCAAACTGGAAGGAAGCCACTCCGGCTGAGAGGGATGCTTCAGACATCAGCAGGGAGGTTTGGCCCAAAGAAGACTCGCAGGAAGCAGCCAGGACCTTTGCTCCGCTACAGTCCCCGGGGCCCCCTCCTCCCTCCCCCACCCTCTCTGAGAACAGCCCTAATTCTGCCCCTGGCTTCACTTGAATCCAGAAGGGGCAGGGAGGAGGGGGAGGCTGGGTGGGTTATCAGCAGCCAACTCCCAAGGATGGTTACTTCTATTTTAAAAGAAGGGGGGGCACACTCTTGAACTTACAACCATTAAAATTCCTGCTTCCCGACTTTGTGCCTCTCTGAGCCTTGTCTCCAAAAAAACACCTTTGGTGATAACCAATAGGTGGGATGCTGGGCGGCCAGAAAAAGAACTTGAGCGGCCTATGCAGCGCTCGTGTTAAGGGGCTCTTGAAGACAACTCAGGGGTTTTGTTTTAAAAGGGAAGGCAAGTCAAAGGACGGCAAGGGCGCTCCGCTGAAGGAGCAGACGGGGATGTGAAAAGGCGGGCGATTCTCTCTCCACACTCCTCTTCCTGGGCAACAGTCCTCCTGGAGGGCACAGAGTGAGTCGGCGGAAGGCGCTTTGTCGGTCTTCCCAGCCGGCTTCCGAGTCACACAAAAGTCCTGGAAGAAAGACGGAGCCCCTCAGCTGTGAAAATGAGCAGAACCCGGAGGCCTTCAGCTCGAGTGGGCCTTTCGGAAGCCAGTCAGTTGTTGCTATCATTCATTTCTTTCCCCTTCTGTGAGCAGCGAGGTACTTTTGCAAGGGACTTGGAAGAGGAAATAATTAGTTTACTTCGGAATGATTAGGTCTTGGAAACAAATATTCAGGGCTCCCTATGCTTCAGATTCATGATCTAAATAATTTAGTGTCCTTTATAAATATGACCACCCCTAATAAATAGGACTTCTTGGGAGAAAATGAAGCATGGTGATTCTGCCTCTGGGCTCCCTCCCCCCAAATGCATTGGCCTCGTGCGTAAAAGGCAGCATCCTGACTCTTGTCTGGGCTTCTCAACAACCTTGCTGAATGAAAGAACCTTCGGATATACCGATTGCAAATAGATATAGATATAGATACTTTATTTGTATGCCGCCCTTTTCCCTGAGGGGACTCAGGGCGGCTCACAATTCAGGGGGAGGGAGGACAAACAAGGTACAAACACGAAAACAATACATCATTAAAAGAGCACAACAGTCATACTATTCGAGTGGGGTAAATAAAACTCAGGTTGGTTCCTCTTTCGTAATTTTCTTTCTTGGTTCATTATTGTGGTTCAGGGGCCTAGAAAAATTTAGACCATGTTTTTTTTCAATGAGTCCTGCCTCTGGCTATGTGCAGGCAAGATCCCCAGTGTTTCTGGCTTTTTACAGGTCCCCTGGGGGAAACAGTGATTATATTGCCTCTGTCTTAGTGCTTATGGCCCCCGCCAGGGAGATTTGTCCGAAGAGGTTTCCTGTACAGAAGAAGCTGAGAGGGTGAGAGACTGACACTCCAGAATTGTCTGCCCAGGAGAAGTAATTAACTACAGCAGAATGGATTTCGGTTGTTGCTATAATGGCTCTTTGGAGCAAAGTTTGTGTTGCTTGTGGAGTTGACTTGGCAACCCCTCTACTTTGAAGAAAAGGAGAGTGTGGCTCCTCCCCCTTGTGGTTAATCTTCCTTGTGTTCTCCCCCTGCCCAGCTTTCATTCATAGCAGCTCTACCAGGCCTCCACAAGCAGCTTCCTCCAGACGTTCCTCAAGGTGGGTGCTCGGCTCTTCCTTCATAAAATGTTTACCTTGTTTTGAAGTTAACATTCTGGGGAGAATGACCAGTCAGCACCGAAAACAACAATACGCCAACTTGTGGTTGTTTTTTTAAATGGGGCCAAGATAAGTTGTAAAGATCCAATTGTGGTTTTTATATAGTAAAATAGTTAATTATGTCTGAAGTAGCCGGGTTTAGCTTTCCCCAACATTTTAAATAAAATAGGCACAATTTCTCCCAAGGTTTTGGGCACAAAGTTGTTAGGAGAGCCCCTTTGCAGTCCGTGTTTGTTGGCTTGCTTCTCTTGGGCCCATCCTCAGAGAAAGAAGGAATAGCTTGGGAATATGTAATTCTCTTTCTGGGTGTTATTCTGTGGTGTGAACCACCATGCGACACTGGGAGATGGAAAGAATTCCAGGGTGCTCATTTAGGAGATACATAAGATCCAGGGCAGGATTTGGGCAAAGGTGTCCCATTTATCAGGATTGTGTTTTAACAACTGTTGCGTTTTTCTCTTTGCGGTCTTTGACAATTTAAAGAAATAATTGTCTGGAGGTATGGATTCCCTCTCTTGCATTAGATGGATAGTGCTGGGCTGTCTGCTGGGAAAACCAGGACTTCTGAGCATAGGGGAGTGCAGAAGACTGCAGGGCAGGGATGGGACAGGATGGGAGTTTGGGGCTTCCATGGTCTGTCTCTTGACTCTTAAGAAGCTTGGTTTATTCACACTTACTGAAAGCTGTGTACTTTTGGCATCTGATATTCTACATCAGTGAGGCTTTTCAGACCCTTGATGTGGCTTTCTCTCTGACTTCTGAATAGGGAGGGTATTTCTTTTTCTTCTGTAAAACTATTTAACCTTCTGTTCTTACATCTCCAGTACTGTTGGCAGGTGGGTCAAGTTAAAAGAGCTTTGAGGGAGGGAGGGAGGGAGAGAGAGAGAGAGAGGGACTGATTACCTGTTTTGAGATGGTGGCACTGGGCGTTGGATCCACCACCACTGTTTTACCATTTTTCCCAGGTAGGAGAAAGTGGAAGGAGCAGGGTAACAAGTAGCATTTTCAAGGCAAATTGGTGGCTGTGGAAGATACCACCAACTTTCAAATGAGGTTTTGGAAGTTGGAAGGGGGCCCTGGGAAGTAGGTGGTTGCACCTGGCAGAATCTGGCATGCAAAGGCAGGGATACAGCAGGGGCTCTAAGAAATGGGAAGAGGGGCAGATTCTGCTCCAGTGGAAAAAGGGCTGGGAAAACAATATCTTGCCTCCAAACCTTTGCAGAGGATAAGTTACTTGTTAAATGACATTTTTGCAAGATAAGCCTTGTGGCAACTGATTAACTTCAGTACAGCCAGAGGAAGGTTTGGCTCTGCAATCTCTTTGAACTCTTTCTAGTGGAGCGGCCTCACTTTAGTTGTGCTTTTCGTGGGGTATGGTTGGAAAGGGCTTCCCTCTCTCTTGACTTATCTGACATTTTGATTTATATAGCCAGCCGTCTCAGCCTATGACTCTGAGCGGCAAAAAGCAAATCAAAATAATACAAAAATGTGTTTTTAAAATTGCAGTCAATCCTCCGAATCGGTTGCCGCAGTTACTCTTTTGCCCTGGACGAGGAATTGCTGCACCCTCATCTTTGGAGTACAGGATTAGGCCAGCCTGAATTTTTCAGTCTGAACCAAACTTCAAACCTGCTTCAACATTTTTGCCTCTTCATTAGAGACGCTGCAAGTGCCAAAGGAGCTGGAGTGACTTTCTTCCTTGGACCCTTGGAACACAGCCTGAAATAGAATCGGGGTTTGAGAGGCATCCATCTACTTACAGCCAGCAGATTCCTCAGGATTTCCTTTTGGTTGCAGGAATGGAACTCGAGGTCGGTGTCAAAGGCTGCATACCTGAGCAGTTTCAGGATGGAAACCTATCCCAAGTACAGGCTTCTCCAAAAAAGCTGCCTGCCTTCCTCTTAAAGCGACGCAGGAAGATCAGCCAAGCTTGCGTTAAAGAGAGGGGTAAGTGCAGAGAAGGAGGGCAAGGAAGAGGCCGGCGGGATGTTACATCAAGCGTTCTCTCTCGGTCAAAGACAGGGAGGTAAGGTAGCCACCGTAAGTCTCCAGAGACTACAGAGCAAAACAGCATTGCCCTTTCCAGAGTTTTCCTCCCTCCCTCCCTCCCTTCCTTTCTTCCTTCCCCCACTCATCCATCCATCCATCCATCCATGGTACATCTCATCCACTGTCTAACAGATTGTACAGTCCACAAAACAATAACATCCAGAACTATGAAAACAGATTGCTAAAGTCCACAAAACTACAATGCTAAGGAAAAAGAAAAAAAAAACCCAACACCCTCATGTTGTCCTCACATTGACACCGGCACAGAGGGGAAAGAAAGACCCCTGGTTAGACTATGGATGCTGAGCCTCAAATGCGAGGTAGGTAAAGTCAGGGCCAGGAGCCCTCCGGGAAAAGGGCCAGGGCTAAAGAAGAGAGAGGGGAGGGGAAGATGGGAGCGTGCCTGTGCAGGAACATGGGGATTTGAAAAGGAAAGGAAAAAAATCCATGGGTTCTTTCTTAAGCGGTTGCTTGAGGCCTTTCCCCTAGAAAGTAAGCCAGCTTATCTGCAGAAAAAAAAAACCTTGCCCAGTTCATTAGAGCTTCCCTTCCCAGCGTTACAGGTATTAAATAACCGCTGCCTAAGTCCTTCATGCGAGGCATTGCCTTTAAGGGGAGAGCGCCTGTTGGCCTTCACTGTTTGATGAGAAAACCCCCAGAAGCAATGGATAAAATGCATAATGAGTAGCCTGCAACGTGAGGACAGTGCTTGTTGGTTAAGGGAGGCCCTGCTAGCATGCATGGGAAAACAGTCTTCTGTCAATCCTTCTGAGTCAGGCTGAGCTTCTGCATGTTTTGAACGATTAGTTTCAGCTTTAGCGGTTGAGCAAACGAGCTTTAAGGTCAGATCATGTGCTACGCGTAAGCTTACTTCTGTGTGCAGCGCATGGATGCCTGGAGGCAAATGTTCCTAGGTGGCATCCGGGCAGAGAAAGACTTGTAGCAGGGCATTTCCCAGCCTGGGGAGAGCATTGCCAGGAGAGCCCGGGGAGTGGAGGGATTGAGGGAGGGCAGTTGGAGGCAACGAGGCGTGTCGGGTGCGGAGCCAAGAGCGTCGCTGTGGTTGCTGTCGGGTGCAGATCGACTTTCAAATCCACCAATGGGCTTCCAGGGCGTTGAGTCCTATTCAAATAGTGGCGGTTAGAAGGCGAGGCCAGCCGCCTGGGAGAAAAATTGTGACTGGAAGCTGCCTCCGTTGGACAGTTGGAAAAATGGTCTCTGGTCTCCCTGCCAGTTAAGGAGCTGAGGGAACCATGGAGCCCAGGCATGCCCACCTCTGTGCCAAGTCAGCTAACCGTTTGCAGTTTCCTTGCTGTCTGGCAACCTTTGGTGAGTCCTCCACAGGGTGAGGTGGGCGAGGCAGTGGTGATGATTTAGCACCTGTTTCATTGTGCAGCCTTGCAAGAGCACAAGAAACCACCTCCGTCTATCCCCCTCACTATTGTGTCCTCCTCTCCCCCCATCCCTGGAGGCACAGGCCTCTGGGGTCCTCTGCATCCTCCCCGCGTGCAACAGAGCCATAGGCAGTCACGATCGTTAGCCCTGTCCTCGTCAGCCTTTTGGGAAACCCTGAAAATGTGGTTCTCTCAGCAAGCCGGTGGAGATCCAGTGGGGAGCCTGCACCATTTGAAGGACCAATCTTGCGTACCCTTGGTTCTGTCGCAACTTGGAACGGTGGCTGAAGGACTGTTTGCTGTGTAATTGTAAGCTGCTTGGGGCCACAAGTTGGCCTGAGCAACACGAGACCTTTAAAGTAAACAAGGGTGCGGAGAGGGTCCTGGGGGAGAGAAAGAAGCCCACCTCTGTTTCACAGATAGAAGAGGGAAATATGGAGAGGCTGTGCAAAAGAGGGTCGTAAAGCAACTTTGCAATCGCCTTTCTTGTCTGCTCCAGGGCAGCTGAAGCTCTCCATCCACCTGCAAGGCAGAAGGCTGAAACTTTACGGTAAGTCAACGGGGTGTGTTTGGTACAGAAGGAATAAACCTTCTGCCCAAGAGAAGAGGAAACCTGAAGCGCTTAGATAGGCAAGGCAAGCCCTTAAACTGCCCTTTATTAGCCAGGAGCTGAGGAGGCGGTGGCACCTTCCAAGGCTCTGTGGTGCTTCAGACACCATCTCTACATGGCAGCATGTCCCAAGTCAGAGGATTCCTCAGAAGAAACATTGGATGCCCTGGAAGAAAGACAGGACTTCCGGCTTTCCTTGAAAATGCAATGTTTGCAGGGAAAGCCATGAACAAATCCACCTTGCCTCATAAACAGGCATGCTCCTTACCCGTTTTCTTCTTCCCCCCTGGTGGCTCTAAGGGCAGCCAAGGCAGGATTCTGTCATCTGGAATGGCAGACGTGAACCTAAACATTGTGCGTTAAGCGCCTGCTTTTTGCCCAAGCTCTTGCCGCTTGTTTTCATCTATCGGGCAGCGAGAGTTGCGTTAGGATGCAGGAGTTGAGTAGGCGAGGCAGGCAGGAAGTAGCAATATGGAGGAGGTGTGTGTAACCTTTGAGCAGAGGGTTCCTCTTGCTGTCCATAAACAGAATCCTTTCCATTCATTCCTGTTGAAATGCCATTTCTTCTTCTTTTCTTTCTCCTCCCACGCAGTCGTGGAAGCCAAACGTCTCATGGGAAAACAGGACCGAGTGTGTGGCTCCTTTGTCAAGGTACGGCCGTGGTCCCCTACAACGAGGACTCTGCTGGGGAGGCCCCTTAGTGGGGGAGGACTCCAGTGGCACCAGTGTTCTCCATTGACTTTGCTTGTGGGAAGGTCGCAAATGGCGGCCTGGGAACCGCCATGCCGCCAGGTAACGATCACGTGGTCGTGGGTGGAGCATGGGGGAGCACAAGACCTGGTCCCAAGGGCTATGCTTCCAGGGCCATCACAACGTTGAAGCATCACTGAACAAGGGGTCACTAAGCAAGGACTACCTGTAATGTTCTTCCGTTGTCAATGAGACTTTCAGCCCCTCTGGAGGCTGGATTGCTCCTGGGTCCCCTTTAGCTGTGCCCACCCAAATATAGTGCAGAACTTGGGAAGGTCCCAGGAGTATTGCGTTGGGGGAGAGGGGTATATTCCTTTCGTGCTGGAATCCACAGGATTACCCTGCTTGCTGCAGCTCGGTTGGTGTTAGGTGTGTGTGTGTGTGTGTGCGTGCGTGTGTGTGTGTGTGCTGTCCAAAAGAAGACTGACGGCATTTTTTTTCTTCCCCTCCTAACAAAGGTGTCCATTGTGCCAGACACATCACGGAAATGCAGGCAGAAGTCCAGGACCATTCTGGGCAGTACAAACCCTGTTTTCCACGAGCAATTTATTTTGTGAGTATGGGGATTATCAAGACTTGCTCCTTCCCAAGCCCCATAGCTTTGGGCCCTCCGCGTGGAAGTCGAGGGTGCATCTCCCAGGCAGGTGCTTGTAGCAGCTCAGGGCTTTCCCCCTCAATTGTTCACTTCGGAACAGAACTGTGTGCCCTTTCCCTCCTTCTCTCCGTGGGGGTGGAATCGAGGGAGGTGAAGGTCTTTGCTGGGGCTGCAGCAATAGGATTCTGATACGGTAGCATTCTTCAATTGCCATAATGCTGCGGCTAGTGTGGGGGGGCAGCATTGTGGCTGAGCAGATGCGCAATCCCCTTT